AGTCCCATGTTCTCTCGCGTAGAGTCTTGGGGGGGGGGCGAGCACTGTCGATCTCCGCTAGTGGTGTTAGAGGGTTCATTCCAGTGGTGGTTCCAGGCAATTTAAGTGGTTGTGTTGTGAGTTGGCTTCAGTGATGTTCCGGGATTTGGATTTCAACTTAGTTAGGCAACCGAGTTAGTTTTTGGCAGCTTCAGAGTTGGTCATCTTTCGTTGCGGGGCTCTCTGTGGGTCAACTTGGTTCCGTTGGTTCTACTTGGCTAGTTGTTTGGGAAGGTCTTTTTTTTTTTGTGTTGGGTTTAGTTTTTTAATTGTTCTTGTGTCTATGTCTTTTTTTGTGTTTGTGTGTTTTTGGACTGGGCCGTTGGCTACAGTTCGCCTAAGTGTGAACTTGTTATCCTGTTGGGACGGGTACACCCGGACATTACCCTGTTAGGGTCGTACTTGTGTCTTTGTGTTTTTCTGTGTTTCTAGAGTATTGCCCTGTTGGGGTCGGTTCTAGGCGGTCTTTTGACCTGTTCTCCCTGTTTTTTCAGTTGTTGGCTGCTTGTATTCAGCCGTTGGCGGTCTGTATTCAGTTTGTGGCTGTACTTTTACACCTTTGTGCGCATTTATATACTATCTCTATCGTTTCGAAAAAAAGTGGTATCATTAATTGTTAGGTGAATTTTGATTTTATATTATAATAATAATTAAAATCAAATAATTAAAATCGATTGGATGTAAAAGTAGGTGATATATTGTGTTAAATGATTGTTAGCTAAAATTATGTGGGTTGATGAATAGTAAATTAAAAGTTGATGTGATGTGTAAAAATATCTGGTAGGTATTATTTAATTATATTGATAATATTGAATAAATTGAAGTTGAGTTAAAATTGTGTTAGATTTTTATATAAATTGAATATGAATTAAGTATTTTTTGTATACAAAGTCGCCGTAACAATTGACCAAATTATCACACAAACTATATTAACACGATTTTTCATGTTAACTCGAATATATTATGAGAAATGTTATAAGTACATAATATCGTATACATCTTATTAGAAATAAAAAATTAAGTGGACCCAACTTCATATTAATATTATGTATCTCTCTATTATACTACGACTTCGGAAAGATTGCGTAAGCACATATGTAACATCAACATCATTATAGCAAAAGATAAAAATAAAAAAAATGTTTCTTCTATTTTTTTCTCATATTGGGAAAGGACCCAACAATATTACTAATTTAATAGCAATAATTTTTTTGCTTATTTTGCCATAAAATATCATTGTAAAGGGAGACTTTATTCATCAATTAAATTATAATAACAGAAAAGAAAGGAGGAGTAAAGAAAAATTAGTGATGGTGACGTTGACAGTCGCTAAAATAAAAATCGTCTTTTCCTCTCTCATTCTCTCTTTTTTTCTGCCACATAATTGCACAACGCAGGTGGTGCTGTTGCCTTCATTTTTTTCCCCATTCAACATTTGCATTCATTTCCCTCGAACCACGTACGAGTACGACGGCTAAAAAAAAGTATGTCGGTATGTTGTCGTCGGGTGGCCGCCTCCGCCGCCGCGACCCCGGCGGCTGGCCGGCCCATTCTGCTGCGCCGGCCGTCCTCGTCCGTCAATTTCTCTCGCGTGGGCTATCGTCAATCGTGGGATAGCAGGGGCGCCAGAGCTCCGGTGCTTCGGTCCAGACGGTGGCTGATTACGGCGTCGGTCGCCCGCCGGGGAGGGGAGGAGGAGGATGGGATGAAGATGACGTCGCTGCCGCCTCCTCGGTGCTGCGCGTTTGATCGGGACGCGGTGGCGGTGGCTGATGGTGGAGGTGCGGCCGATCGGAGGGCGGAGGTTGTGGTTGCGGCCGTGGCTACGGTGGTGCTCGGCGTGGGGAATCGGGTGCTATACAAGCTCGCATTGGTCCCTCTCAAGCATTACCCTTTCTTTCTTGCTCAGCTTGCCACTTTCGGGTAATTCTATTTCACTTCCCTTTTTTTCTTCTTCAGTCTTTTTTTGCAATAACTTTTTTCTGAACATTTAACTTTTTTTTTTTTTTCA